GAAAAGTGTCAAAACATTTTGGAACTGTGTAATTATCAAAGTCCTGAAAGAAATATTTATTTTGGACTCAACAATAGCAATGCATTTGCTTTATTGGGTTATATAGTTGCCAAAATAAGCAAATTCTGAAGGTAGCAGATGGTTTAGTTATCAGATTAGTTTTATTTATTTATTTTTGATATGGTGGATTGAACTGGTACTCGATGACTTAGCCACATTCCCAGCTCTATTTTGTATTTTATTTATTTATTTATTTTAAAGAGAGAGAGTGTGTGTGAGAGAGAGAGAGGGAGAGGAGAGAGAGAGAGAGAGAGAGAGAGAGAGAGAGAGAGAGAGAGAGAGAGAGAGAGAGTTTTTTATTTAATATTTATTTTTAAGTTTTTGGCGGACACAACATCTTTGTTTGTATGTGGTGCTGAGGATCGAACCCGGGCTGCACGCATGCCAGGCGAGCGCGCTACCGCTTGAGCCACATCCCCAGCCCTTGTATTTTATTTAGAGACAAGTTCTCACTGAATTGCTTAGCGCCTTGCTTTTGCTGAGGCTGGCTTGGAATTTGCCCTCCTGTCTCAGTCTTAGAAGCTGCTGGGATTACAAGCCTGTGCCACTGCGCCCGGCTCAGATTAGAGTTTGTTCACTTATAATTTCCATATTTTTAGATTGAATTTAGGTATTTTTAAAAAACCAGTTACTATTATCATTTACCTTTGTGTAACTTACCTTTCCCAAATAAAAAATGAAAAGTTCAGTAGTTTCTTTTATAGGATTTATTCAGCAAAGGAGCTACTGAGCATGGCAAACTTCAGTGTTCCTCTAAAACATATAGACTACAGAATTAGGTATTTCTAGCTAGAAGTTTGAGTCAGATTAGCTGAAGACAAGCACTTAACTATGAAATAGTAATTTCCTGTCCTTTATACTGAAATAAGATTGAAAAATCGAACTTGGGATAGAATTTATGCATATGGTGGTTTTTAATCAGAAAGATTTTTCTTTGTTGTAGACCGGTATCTCAATTTAAGACAAAAAATTCTTGATTATGTATATTTTAACTGTATACTTGATCTATTTTTTATGTTACAGAAACATTTTTTGAAATTTGTTTTCTTACATGGATAGGTTTCTAGTACCACAACATGCTGTCCTGTTCAATATTGTGTGTTAAAGTATTTTGGGAATGTATATTTATCTTCATAATCCTAAAAGAAATATTTATTTTCAACTCTAAATCAGATTTCTTTTACCTTTATGAACTGTTTCCAACTGTGTTGACTAAAACACTGATATTCTGTTAGATGGTAGTAAGTATTCTGTGAAAGAATTCCCTGCTAGTAATATCTTTTTTCTTAAAAAGTTTATTTAAAAAAATGTGTAAGAAAAATTCCAAATATATTCAGGTGACTCTTCTCATGATATAGAAATCTAACTTGAAGAAATGGTGTGGCGTAGTGGAGAAGTCTAAGAGTTTATATTAGATATCATTTAGGTTATGAATGTATATTGTTTATTCTGTGACTAGATGTATAGGCAGCATTAATTAATTCACTGTCCTCTATACTGTCTACTTTTCTTTCATCTGCTCTGTCTTGTCCTGTAATTTTATTATATATTTGTGACTTTGTTCAAATTTCCTGTCACATTGATTTTGATTTTTTTCCCTCTAGTATTGGGTATGAACCCAGGGCCTCATGCATGCTAGGCAAGAGTTCCACCATTGAGCTACATCCCAAGCCCCCTATCCTGTTGAGTTCATTTTGTTGCCTAGTTGAATACAAATTCATCTTGTTCAATTTCTATTGATGTTTCATCAGTGTCATTTTAAAAGTGCTCTGTAGTCATCGAATTGGAAAAACCCAATATTGTGGTTTGGATCTTGAATGTTTCCCCAAAAGCCTATGTTGAAGACTTGGTTGTAAGTCTGTGGTGCTTTTTGGAGGGAGGTGGTAGAACCTTTAAAAGTTGAAACCGTGTGGAAGGAAATTAGGTCATTGGGGACATGCCTTGAATGGGATATTGGGACTCTGACCCTTTCCTTTGTTTCACTTTCCAGCCCCCTATGCTACATGTTCCTGCCATGTTCCTCAGGCCACCCCAGGATCAAATCAACAGGACCAAATGCCATAGACTTAAACCTCTAAAACTATGATCCAGAATAAAATCTTCCTCTTTATAAGTTGTTTATTTCAGGAGTTTTGTCCCAGTTATGAAAAACTGACTATCCCAGTGAGGTAACTTATGACTATTTTTCATATACTTAAAAACTACAGCCTCAGTTATGCACATTTCTAAAAATAGAAGGTTACTTAATTATTTTTCTTTTAGTAAATCCCAAATACTCAGAAATACTTAGTCAATACTTGGAAACCAGACTCTGTAGTACAAGAGAACACTCTGTAGTACAACAGTACACTCACACTGGTGAGTGACGGGATGGTCTCTTAGGCTGAGTGCTGCCTCACCACGTTTTCCTTCATGTGTAACTTTGTGGTGCAGGCTACTGAAAACCACACTAAAAAATGCTAAGTTTTAAAGTTGACGTTCTAGAGATCAAATGTTGCATTGATAAACTCTTTCTTCAAAATGGCTTGATACCACTAATAAGATCCGGGAGGGGCAAATGATGACTTTGCCTAGTTCCCAGAATTTTAGCTCTACAAATAGATTTTTAATAAATGAAGGTCAGAAAATAAAGCACTGTATTTTCTAATAGGAATAGGAGACTATTCTTAATTCTCTTTTGTGGTGAGGTTTCCAAACTTTGAAGTTCTAAGATCCCCCTTGATTACATATGTTAATTGTGTTTTGGGTCAAGGAACCATTCAGAAAGTTTGTCCTATAAACGATTGGTGGTTCAATGAAAGAAAGAACCCTTGCTGAAAATGCTGTTGAAACATCAGGTCAATCCTCTCTGAGATTCTCTATCTACAGAATAAATAGGTGTTGCTAAAAATAATTTCTATGACACTGTGTGCCAGGCACTGCATTAATTGTTTCACCTGAATTTTTTTGTAAAAAAAAAAAAACTGATTAGATTGTTTTGAAAGTTGATATTGTCATGTTGTTTTGTATTTGGAATGTGAGCTGTTTGGGTTAAAAATCTTCATGCAAATTTCTACAAATAAATCAAGTGTGGATGTGCAGTGGGTGGTTTTTAAGCTTAAACATCTCAGCTGGATTTAATTACCTTAAGGGATAAGGCTACACGATGGGCCAGTGGTTTACCAAATTATTTTTCATTTTCTGGATCTTGATGTCACTGAAGGTTAATGCATCCTCTTTTCTTCATTGGAGACCTAAGTTAAAATCCATTTTAGGGCATAAGTGTAAATGAATTTGTTGTTTTTCCTCCTTGGAGATACTTTGGTCATTTTGTGAGGCTGCCTTTCCATTTGGAATTGCTGGCAGCTTGCACACGGCCCAGGGGCTCTTGTAGCAGGGGCAGTTGCAAGTCAGCGTGAAAATGAACTGGCAGGGCTTCAGAGGGCAGAGCTGGCCCAGGGCTTGTCACTCTTCCATTCCTTGATTCTTTCTTGCTTAACTTAAGCAAACTTATTTACTACTGACATTTGATTATAGCACATCACAAAACAAGTGATGTGTTTGTGGGAAAGCCATTGGATTTTTTTTTCATTAACCGTTTCAGAATGGTTTATATTTGGCAGCTTTGCAGTTTTCTGTATTCACTGTCTGCAAACTCTAAGATGACTCCTTAAACTGCTGTACATCTGTGATCAACCTCTTTGATCATCAGTATGTTTTGGGGCTTTCATTGTTTATTGCTTTTGTCTGAGTGTTTGATTTGGGAGGCATATTTGTATTTATAATTATGTTGAGTGGTTCCCCGTGAAGTGGGTAATGGGTAGTTGGTCCTTATTTCCTCTACCTATTAGAGTACGAAGAAGTAGAACCTAAGCAGGGAATAGTCACAGATCTTAGTCCTTCAGGGCGCTGGTGTGCTCTTCCCGCTCCAAGCCCAGCTTGTCATCATGTCATTTCTTTTAGAGTCTTCTTTTTAACATTCTTTATGTCTCCCTCATCATCCTTTTTTTTTTTTCCCTCTTGAGGAATAGTACCGAAAGTATATTTTTCACTTTATTTTTTCTTCTTTTAAAATATAAAAATATTTATATATGCATGGACACACATTATTTATATACATGAATAAATGGGATCATATCATATGTGCTTTTTTCCCTTTGTAGTTATTGTTTTGAGTTTCAGAGTCAGTTGCTTTTTGTTCTCGGAATCCTTCACTGTTTCCATTTATTTAGGCATTTCTACACCAGTTTGATTAACCCCATCATTTTTATCTTTAAAATCTCCCAAACCACTTTACACCAGGAATTTCGTCCTCTGTATACTTTATCTTCTATTACCATCTAAATTACATTTATTCTCTCAAACTGGATCAGGATAAGGAGAGTTAATGATTTGCTATTTCCCACTTGTAGCATTTGTGTAAAAAAAAAAAGTGCTTCCCTCTGTGTGTGTATGTGGGGTGTGAGACTGATCTGTGTAGATATACATGTAACTTAGTTAGCCAAGCTCTGACTCCATGAGAATAAGCTATTAAAACTTCATATAGTATGCTTTTATTTGGTCTTAATCTTCAAAGGCTAAATTTGATTAAAAGCTGATTTAAATAGTTAGCATTTGGGATTCTTGTGAGAATATGAATGATATAATCATTTAATTGGGGAGGTCACTTCTGTGTGTCTTTCAGTAAGTGATATGTGTGGAATTAAATAGTACATACAGCATAGAGCTTTACATGCCTTCATGTTTATCTTGGTCAAGAATTTTCTTTATTTACCTTAGATGATCAGTCCTTTAAGAGCAGGACTAGACATCTACCTGATGCTCAGCCATGTTTGATGTATGCTCACAAGGCTTTCATGAACTGCCTTTTCATAGTATCTTAAAAACAGTCTTTCTTACTTATTGTATTGCTGATTATTATTTAATTGTCCATTATTGGCTCTCCTTTTGTGTCTTTTCAGGTATCAGCAGTAGAGTCTTTGGAGGGTCCCCTGCTTCAGGTAGAAGGACTGAGTGACCTCAGGCTGGAGCTTCACAGCAAGAAGATGAACCTCCATTTGGTTCTCATAGACGAACTGCACAGGCACCTGTACATCAAGTCCACCAGCCGAGTTGTGCAGCGAAACAAGGAAAAAGGGAAAATGAGGTGGGTTAAAGTGCCTCTTTGTCATAGTGTCTTGTGGCAGTTATCAGAAGAAATATTCTTTGTTTGCAGAATATTCTAGTTTGTTTTATTTTTCCTTTAATGTACTGTCTCTGAGACTTGAAGATGGTTTTGTAATAGCTATTCCTTGTTCTGAGAGGTAGGCATCATAGTTTGTTAATTCATTCATTGTACACTTATTGTGGATCTCTTTCATAAGAATACCTAAGAAACATTTCCTGTGGGCCTCTTGTATACTGGATGAGAGACACTCTTTTATATCTCAAAAGGGAATGAAAAACTCTTTTTTTTTTTAAATTTGACATTAAAGTCAGCCAAGTTAAGAAATATAGATATATGCACTAAAGTTATAAGATTTATTGTTACTTAGGGTTATGTTTAGCTTTAGGCATTCTTCCTTGTGGAATTGTTCAGAAGAGGTTCAGAAAGAACACTTTCCTTTTACTCCTTGGCTGGTTGTAGTGTAGCTCTGTGTTTAAGGGTATGGGTGAGCTTAAGAAATCCGTTGCTTTAGTATAGACCAGATAAGGAGTAAGCCTAGATCTTAAGATGGTAAAACGTTTGGATTCTTAACATATGACAGCTATGTAAGTGCATGTCCTTTCAAAATTCTTTTAAATAGCCATAAAATCTTTTCAGAGGGGATTTTAGTACCCTATGCTTTTGCTTTTTCATCCATGTATACCAGAAGAACACTGCATGCTGGCACTGAAGTCTTTCAAGTCCTATCCTTTTTGAACAAAAGGTGCTAACTTTGTGTGTTAAGCTTTAGTTTAGCCAGAGATCCAGAAGAGAAAGAGAAATTTGTACCTTTTCAGCAGATAGACATAATATAAACTTTTGCCAGGCACATTCCATTCCAGGTAGGAATGTGTACCCGAGACAAAACTTCAAGACAAGATCTGAATAGGGTTAACTCTGAGTTACCCATTCTGCAGAGAGGGAGTGGGAGTGCTAAGGAGATTGTCTCCAGTGACTGGTGGTAAATAGTAGGTTTGAATGGATTTCTTCCCATTCCAGGAAAAATAACAAAACAAAATCACCATGAGTCTTGTCAGTTTCTATGCTATATAGGAAAATAAGTATTATGTTGAGGTATCAGAGGAAGAACATTTATTTTAAAAAAGAATTTATAAAGCAAACAAGAAAAAATTTGGGAAACAGAAGTTTAAGTTTTCTCAAAAGAAATTTGATGTAGTAGATTAGATGATTGTTTGAAATAACCTCTTTTCCTCTTCCACTTCAGTGGGAGAAGTACATTTGTTCCCCTCTAGTTTTGGGCTTTTACTTTTGTGAGTTATTAGGACGTGTAACACAGACAGAGGCTGCAAATACTCTTGTGCTGGTAAATGGGGAGTATGCCCTCTCGTGCCTCTTCCATTCCCTGCTCGCTTTTTTCCCCCAGAGGAGGAAGAGAGACACGTAGAACCAACTCAAGACCAGCAGACCTGCCCAACGTGGATCAGCTAGACCAGAATATATGCTTATTGTTGACATCATGGAGCATTTGTGGTTGTAGGCAGCAAGTGTATCGCTTCTATGAAACAATAACAGGGAACAGCGAGAGTGGAACAGGGAGAGATGCTAAGAGAACTACAGTGTGAGTTAAATGTGAGAGAAACAAAAGCGAAGAAATTTAAGTCTTAAAATGTTAGACGAATCAGCGATGTGGAGGAAAAACTTTCCTCCTCATGAAGAAGAAAAAGACAAGGTGATAAAAGAAAGATGATGGAATAAAAGATTAAAAACAGTGATCAATCCAGTGATTTTAGGTGAGGATTACACTAAAATGATAGTGCTGTGGACTGTGTTATGAACCACACCCCCTAAAATTCACATATTGAAATCCAAATCCCTGGAACCTTAGACTATATTTGGAGATAAAGTTTTTTAAGAGGTAACTAAGTTAAAAACAGGTTATTATAGTAGCTGCTAACTCAATAGATTGTTGTGCTTGTAAAAAGAAGGAATTTGGACAAGGAGAGGTACAGTGAGAAGACAGTAGAGGAGAAGACACACATTTACATGCAAAAGAGTAAGAGGAAATCAACTCTGCCCACATCTCGACTTCAGATTTCTGGCCTTCAGAACCACAAAAAATATATTCCTATTGTTGACACTCAGTCTGTGGTACTTTGTTATGACAACCTGAGCAAATCAGTGCAGAGATACTCAGAAGCAATAATTGGAATGTAAATTAAAAAGCCTGCTTTAGCAGGAAGAAAAAGAGAGACCTTGCTCTGCAAATCAAAAGGATTCAAGGTAAAATTAAAACAAAATAAAAAGAATCCTTAAATGTGACTTGGAAATTTTTTTCGTTACAAACAAATTCTATAAGCACTAGGAAGAATAATTCTGTTTACTGCTCTGATAGAGACGGTTATCTACCTAACCAGTATCCATTCTCCCCTTTGCTTTTGATGGCAATCCTGTTTGTTCCTGGTGGCTGGAGACCCAGCTTAAAGGCTTTATTTTCTATTTTTCTATATAGCTAGAGCTGATTAGTGGGTCTTCTGCTTGCAAACTGTTGAATGAGAACTCATGGGAAAAATTTTCAAAGGTGCCAACTAAATTGGCATGCTTATTGTTTTAAACCTTCATGTGCCTTTATCTCCTTCCTATCTGTGACATGCGTCGGTGCCATGAAGTTATTTTAGACATGAGATGTCCTCAAGAATAGAAGGCCACATCCTAAACTCTGATGATGTCCAACCTCTTTTAGAGCCTTGGATGGACTGCCTCTTTTGTATGAGAGGAAAGAATCCTTTGGTTACTCAGATCACTATTATTTGGGTAATTATTATGTTTTGCCCGCCCTCCCTCCCTAGCTCCCTTCCTCCTCCCTAGCTCCCTTCCTCCTCCCTTTCTTCTTTCCTTCCTTCCCTCACTCATTCGTCTTTCTGTACTAGGGAAGGATTGAGTTCAGGGGTACTCTACCACTGAGCTACATTCCCAGCCCTTTTTATTTTTTGAGACAGATTCTTGCCAAGTAGTCTTAGTTGGCTTTGAACTTGTGATCTTCCTGTCTCAGTCTCCTGGAAGCTGGGATTACCTGCATGTACTACTGTGCCCAGCTATGTCTTCCATTTTATATTGCAAACTCTAGTTTTGATACACAAAAAGAGTAAAAGTCAGGCTCACCAGAATTTGCTGACCAGTGGATGTGAAACAACAGTGGAGTCAAGTCTATAGTATAATGTGCACCGATGACCAAAGATTTCTAGGCCCAGCCAACTGGCAATGGGTATGCATAAGCAGCCAAGAGTTCTCATATATGAATTTGTAGACAAGAAATAAATTACTAGTGTTTTTTTCCCCTTAGGAAACTACTCACAGATAAACTCTGGCATAACTCAAAAATCACAGCTTGAGAACAATACAGTTATAGATAGCTTAAAACAACTTTTGAAGAACATACACCATTTAATATGTAAATTTGTATATGAGTAACTAATAAATAAATGTGTGTTTACAAGCAGAGAACTACTGTTGAAAAAGAAGGTCTATGTAGTCAAGGAATACTTCCCTAATAATAAGCAGGATTTATATCCCCACACTGAGTTAGTAGAGAGTGGGAAATTTGAAGAGGCAGAAAATAAAAAGGAAAATCGAATTTTTGCTAAAGATGAGCCAGAGTTGGTTTGTTTTAGACTTTAACTATTAGAGAAAATACATTTAATTTTGTTTTTATGACTCTTGATAGCTATTTTTATAGATTTCTGTATTGTTTAAGAATTATTAGGGAAGACAGAATCAAATAAAACATACTTGGTATTTCAGAGGATGATGTGTTAGCTAAGATTCTTGATTGTAAACAGTAGAAATCTATCCTGAGAACTAAAACAGCTATGGAGTTAACTGGAAAGTTATCAGATATTTCACAGAATTTGTGAGCATTCTATACAATCATGTTCTCAAACCTACCCGGAAGGAACTAAGGCAAATAAAACAATTGAGCACACAGTCTTAGACCACATGAAGGGCCCATGAGGTTTGCTACCACTGCTGGTACTGTGCTTACCCAGGCTGGATTTTAAACACTTCTGTCAATGATCTTTAAATGTCTTGTTTCTCTCCTTCATCTCCTCCAACGTCCGAGTCTTGGGTAGAAACGTCCAGTTTGCTGAGCATCCTGGGCCCTATCTTGCCTCGTTTAGTTTCCATAGTAGGAAGTAGGTCCATCTCTTTGCTTTGACTCCATGGGGATTGTGTCCAAATAAAAAGATTGTTTACATGCTTAGTTTCCTAAAACAAATAAAATCCAATAACAAATTTCTACAGCAGGAGAAAACAAAGGAAAGCATATGAAGGCATCTACATATAAAGAACAGAGATTTTTGAGTAGGAAATAGATAAGTAGACACAAAAGAAGACTCATGACTACATTAAAAAATAATAAACATCATATCTGGAGGAAATAAAACAAATGGCGAGACTGTCCTTGTTCTTACCTCATAAAGGTGTCAGTTGCATTTAAATCCCAGTTGAGGTTTTTGAAACTGTCACATGAAACCTGAAGTTCACATGGAAGAAGAAATATATAAGATTTGCTTTAAAAAAGTTGAGAAGGGAAGTTGTGATGGAGGCTTTTCTTATGTGATATCAAAATATATTGTAAAGCTATTTTAGTCAAAATAATACAGGCATGCAGATAGAAAATCAGATTGCTGGGATAAATAGAATTCAGAAACCAATCCCAGGATTCATGACACTTTAGTATTGTACTGTGTGTGGGTGAGTCTAGTGATGACGGGTGTTTAGTAAAGAGTTGAGCCAACTGGCCAGTGATTTGAAGAAAATAAATTTAGATACCTATGTTTTTTACATACAAAAGTTCTAGTTAGATTTAATAATCACATGATAAAACTTCATTAACATTAAAATACAAGAACTAAGTGTAGAGGATGCTTTCCTAAGAATGTCAGAAAATGTGAAGAACAACATGAAATAATATAAATATTGAAAATTTGAAAAGGTGTCTA